TTCACGCCTCTAAGTCAGAATCCATGCTGGAATAGACGATAATCACCTTTCCCGATGTGCCGCGAATAGCGATAGGCTGCTAACAGCTACACGTTTATCGACAAAGGCACTACTGTCATTGTCAGCGGTGGTCAACGTGAGTATCTTATCGAGAAAGAGGGTTACTTGTGCGACTGTGAGTTTGCTCAGACCATGAAGCTTCCCTGCAGACACGCCATGATGTACCGAAAGCGCTGTGGCAATCCATTCATTATCCCGCTCTCGACAATTGCGCCAAGGTATGTCGACTTTGCGTCCAGGTATTGGCCATGTTTTCATCAGGTATTAACCAGGTATGTGTTTTGCAGGTGGTTTGGTCAAAGCCGGCTCTCGCAACAGGAGTTGACAGAGGTGGCGGCACCGTTTGTGGCTAAGATATACAAAGCCTATTCACAAGCTGCTGGTGGAAGGTTGAGTGAAGCGGAGAAATACAGTCGTGCTCAGCAGGCACTTAGTCGCATCAGTGGTGAGCTTGCGAGGTTCGAAGACGATGCCTTCGCTAATGCGATGTCGCAGTTGGATCAATGGTGGTACAATATGAGGAATGGACAACCCACGGCAGAGCATTCTGCCCCCAATCGAGACGGTGACAACAGACATGATGATGACAACTCGGATGGAGGAGCAGGGGTGGATTCTGAACAGCAGCAAGATACTGAGGCTAGCGATGCGAATGCGGCTACCAAGGATGATTCCGACGACGTACCGCCGACCCAGGTGGCTGGTCCTGCGACTCAAGCAGCAGAGATGTCGACGACCGCAGCCCAACCACCAAAAATCAAGCTGAATGGTAAGGTCAGAAGGGCCGGGCGACCTCATTTGAATCGTACGGCGATGAAAGTGAAGGCGTCGTTAGCACTAAAAGAGTATAATAACGGGATGAAACTACGCGCTCTTTTAAGGATAACGACGTCTGCGATGTGGTGTCTACTCTATGGATGATCATGCCTGGTGTTCGCGAAGTTGGGTCTTTCCTTACTACCTTTCCAGTCAACAAGAATGGTGAGGGAAGGTCAATTCAGTGGCGCGTCGACGGAGATTACGTGCCAGATCGAGTGCGATTCCGGCTAGTCGAATCGCTTGTTGATGATGCGTTGGATAAGTTGAGGGGCGGATTGGCGCTAGATGAAGAAATTGAGTTGGACAGTGACAGTGAACGAATGGGCAGCATTGAGAGTTACGTGGTGTCAATTGAAAAAGTTGGTCAGTTCACCAGAGAGCAACTGGAAGCTATGGATCCTTGTGGGGGCTACAAGATACTTGTCGCAATGCTGTTCTTTGCTGTACCTGGTTGAATAGCACTGTTAAACCCGCGGTCAGTGGCCCCGCTTCAGCGGGTATTATAATGGGAAAAATACTGGAGTGTTGGCCGTATACACCGCTGGTTGGGTTCGGATTCGACCTGACGTGCAACAATCTCTTTTGCTTTCGAGATTCCGCTTGGCTAAACGATAATGCCATGCGTGCTTTTTTTTGCGGTTTGTCTCGCACGGTACAAGAACAATTGTACAGTCGTCATTCCGCCGCCCCAAAAAGCCAAAGATGCCAAGAATGGAACCCAGCCAAAGGCCACCAAAAGTCGTATCTCTACAAGCACGCTCGACAAAGTTGGTGAAAGTGTTGCCTCGCACCAATTCGTGCTTCTTCCTATCAATGTTGGTGGCACGCATAGGGGATGCCTCGTGGTTGACCGAGACACCAAGGTTATCAAGATGTACGACAGTATGGGCGGTAAGAGAAACAAGAAACGGTTGCAGAAGATGGCTGAAGAAATCCGTACTGGGCCTCTACGTGACGATTCCTACGAAGCTTTGGAAGTAACCGAGCCGGTGCAAACGGACAGTGACAGTTGCGGTGTGTTTGTGTGCCGGTTTTTCTGGACTTGCGTGAGCAGCGAATCCCCCAGCGATGTGTCCCCAGCTTGTATTACGAAGCTGAGGTGGGAGATGCTGCACGCAGTCATGAAGTTGAGGCCGCGCTAGTTATTCGTGCATATCCGTCAGTGCAACATGCATGCAAACACTAACGATTTTAATACATGGTCAATTCTTGGGCAAAACCTGGACAATGACTGTATAGTGCAGAAGTCGATAATGGTACATTCGTGGTACGCCACCATGAGCGTGAACGCCGACACACCGCAGCGGCCATCACTCTAGAATTTTTCTAAGTAGCGCACACATGATCTACCCAGGTTTTAAAGCCTGTAAAATACCTGGGTAAACGGTGAAGTAAACGATTGGTTGCGGTGAGTTCCGACGTCCACTGCCTACGATCATTTCCACTTTAGCCTAAGTCGTGCACACATGAGTTCCCAGGCTTTATACCTGGAAAATACCTGATTTGGTCATTTAAGCTCCCGAATGTAAATTGCCAAATCTGATTTCGTTCTCTATAAGGAAACCTGGGCGAAACCTGGCCCCCTAGCTGGACTATCCATGGAGAATCAGATTTCTGGGTATTTTTTCAATCTGGGAAACCTGGACGCTAAGGTCGTCCTAAAATAAAACACATTACAGCTCTCCTATTTCCGAACTTGGCTATTTCCGAAATGAAATAATCGAAAGCATTTCATTTTATTTTGTGCCGCCTTCGCCCCAGAACGCAGTTACCGCTAATGCAACCGGCGCTCGCGGACGTGCCGGCGAACGACGGCTCCTGCCCCGAGGCCCGGTCGTTTCTGATACGCAGTGGGTGGACCACCTGAACCCCTGGTTGGAGGAAGATATAGCCTTTTAAAAGGTGGAGAGAGAAAAACCGGCGAGAATCGCAACAGTGACGGCGTAATGGATGAAACGGAAGATCAGGCGAGCGGTGAAGAGGCGGAGGAAGATGAAGAATCTGGGCGTCCGTCGGAAACAGATGGAGCGGACGATGATGACGCCGCATTTACGTTTGTGGACCCGCCGGTGAAGTATCACGCCAGTTGGGAGGCTTGGCAAGAATAGGTTTAGGACTACTACCAACGGACGCTGCAAGTAACACCAGTCAAGGAGACCATGCCCAGAGCAGAACGCAACAAAAGGATCAAGAAGACGAAGAAGGGTGAAGACGAGGCCCAGTTGATGCTCGACGGCTACGAACCGTACCAGCGGACGTATATTAGCACCCATGGCTGGAAGAAAAGAAAGTCCCACAGCGAACGAAGTCGTCCCAGGCAGCATATCCGTCTTTCGAATTGCCCGTTTCGTTTCGTTGTACCAAATTTATGATTACCTGCTGGAGCATAACGAGAATGGCATCCAGAGCGACGTGGACAATCTGGTGCGCCGCCATGCTTCGTCTGTTTGCAGCACAGACGATAATGGTACTACAGCACGGGAGATTGTAGTTTTTGCGGCAGCTAACCCAGAAAACGTGTCGCCTGATGCGGAGACGACCTGTGGTGAGACGGGGGTTATTTTGTTAGCTTCAGTGCATATGCGTCGCATGTACAGCCGCTTCAGCGAGATTCTGCTAGTCGATTGCAGCCACAAGACGAATCGGTACGTCCTTTTCAAACGTCCAGGATTAGAATGGTTCTAACCAGAATTCTCCATGTTTATTTTTCAGATACAACTACCAGCTTCTCACGTTCATGGCAATGAGCGAATTCGGCGAGGGTGCAGCCGTTCAACATTCGCTGATAGAGGTAAACAGAGATTGGCACGTGGAGAGGGCGATTGATCACTTCAAACGATCTCATCCTACACGAATTCAGCGTCTGCGGGTGATTGTCGTGGATAATGACCTGAACGAGATTCGCGTGTTGGAATCAAACTTTCCAGACGCCAGAATTCTCATTTGTCACTTCCACGTGAACCAGTACCTGAAGGAAAGGATGTCGAAGCCAGAATTCGAGAACGTTTCAGCTGAAGATGCAAGCCAGATCATTCACAAGATGGTATACGCTGTCTGTAAAGAGTTTTACAAGACTGTTCATGCATCGCTCAAGAAAATCTGTGAACGCCTGGGTCTTACTGGATATTTCGAAAACTTCCAGAAGAACTGGATTACGTGCCAAGATCGTTGGGTCTACTATTTATGCGCAAAGTTGCCGCACATTAAGAATCATACCAATAATCGTTTAATGAGTTTCTTTGAAAAGTTTAAAGAAGGCGTGGATGGATCTACGAGCATGGCGATGTGCGTGAAAGCGTTGGTTGCCCAGGATCGCCGCGTGACAAACGAATACCATTATCGGCTGTCTCAAATTGGGCGTTTTGTGAACAATTCTTATGATGAAGACAAACGCGACACTTTTACGGTTCACTATGCATTACGTTGCCGAGCATATCAAGACGCAGTACGCGGCGGCGCTGGCTCAAGTTGATAATTACAACTATACCAAGGACTCGAGTGGAGGTGATACTGTGGTTGTGAATGGAGAATTTTCCGAGCACAGGGTGAATTTGAAGAGGTGGCGATGCGACTGTGAATTTCCAATGTCGACGAAGCTGCCATGTCGTCACGCCATTGCGTACAGAAGACATATCAAGGCACCGGGTTTTAGTATTCCTTGGGGGGGATTGACGAGAGGTGAGTATTACCAGGATTATCCATGATTTTTATATCTTTCCACGATTATCCAGGAGTAAAATTTTGGATCTGCTATGATTATCCACGATTTTGATTGGATCCTCCAGGATTATCCAGGATTTATCTGCTCTCTAACACTTGTGTACTTGTCTTGTAGATGGACCACCACTTCTCATCCTCTAACGAAGGTGAAGCAATTCTCGCACGAAAGACTTACGAATGGAGATCATGGATCTGGGGTCAAGAAGCAGAGGACGCAATCAGAACGCTAGAAGGAAGGCTGTAAGAGCCACACACCTTATCGCCAACGAAATGGCAGATATCGAAGATGACTCCTAGTTTGGCGACATGTCGCGGTTTATCCTAAATCAATGGCGTAATGTTCGTCAGAAAAAAATGGCTTCTGTTAATACCCCGGCGGAGGGGGGGGGGGTACAGATGGGGATCGTGAAGAACAGTTGGATGGTGAGAAGAGCTGTACTTCTGACCAAGTCAAGGTCAAATTTGGCATAAGTTCCGGTGAAGACGTAGATAATATTTCTAAAGATTCTACTGCAAGCACGGAAGTGACGATTCGATTAATCCTAAAGCCAAGAAGGTAGGGAGATCTCAAAAGCAGATAAAAGCTACAAGCGCTAGCGAAAAGATGGACCGATATGGTACGAAGCAGCTGAGGCAGGGGGAAAGACAGCCAGAGATGTAACTTTGACTGTTTTGCTAGACGCTCTTGAACACCAGAAGCCTGGATTGACCGAAACGCAGAGAAGTTTGTCGAGCGTCCTCGTCGAACACACTGAAGCAGTGAAGAAAATATCAAAATTCAAGACACAGATAAATCCTGTTTTAATCCAGGATCCGTTCTATATCCTCCCCAGTAAGCTGCTGGACGCGTGTGTGAAGGTCATCCCTGTGTCAAACACTGTCGACCCGGCGATATCGATTGGCGATTTGCAGTCCAGCCAAGCTTCCAGTACGTAGAGATCGTCAGCCCAAGGAACTGTGAAGGTTGTGGTCATCAAAGATGCTGGTAATTTTACGCGCAGGCAAATTGAGATATTCAAGCGCATCCAGACTTTGAAGTCCGTTGTGCAGAACGGCGTCGGAATGCACAAGTGGCTTGTGAAGAAGGCTATTGCTGCGCTCCCCGCCGAATAGCACGGTTTTGTTAAGCAGGTGGCAGACGAAGTAATTGAGATCATCTTACTTGAGCGGAACACAGGGCTTCTGAGCCTCCCAGACTACGACTACGCTACGCTCTACAGCGCGATCCCGCCCACATGGATCACCGACGCTGCTATACGCGCGTTGTTCTGGCGTTTATCTGAAGATTACCCCACATGCAAGCTTGCTGGGTTCCAGTCTGTGCTCTTGAAATCCAAGCGGACGCGTAATAGCGAAGGGCATCTGGTGGATGCAGCGATTCGAGCGGCTGTTCTACAACATGCAGCCGATGATGCCGTCGAAACTGTGTTGCTGCCACTGAGCTTTAACCATTTTCACTGGTGCTGCGTGGTGGTCAAGGTCAAGGAGAAGAGAGTCTACTACTACCACCCTCTAAACCAAGCTCCATACATGAACACTGCCAGGGGTGTCACGACGAATCTCAAGATCTCTGGATTGCAAGATTTCAACGTGATCGCGCAGCACAACCCCATCCAGTCGACAGGTTCAGCTGCGGGGTGTACGTGTGCTGGATGTTCCTCTGTAAGGCCGTTCCTGGACTTCACATGGATATGCGGACAAGTCGCTCACGAGACGTCGCGTCGAGTTATTCTTCTACTTGCTGAAGGGTCGTCTACTTCCTTTGGATGACGCTTCTGGTGCAGCAACACCCGGCGCAGACAGGAAAAACAAGGCCCAGAGCGATGAAGACAATAGGGACAACGACGAAGTAATCCCTTCCACCATTATCGCGACGTCGACAAGCTAATTGTGCTGGTTGTAAGTCTCGCTTGCATTAACTACATTGAATACATGTATTTAACTTCATTAAATGCAAGTTTGTTTTACCTTGCATATCAGTAAATTTGATATGGATCTTTTCTTAGAGGCAGCATTGATAGGGCTTCGTCGTAGTGAGCGTAAAGAGCTCTTCGATTGCATTTGCAGACAGAAATTCTCACTTCAAGTCGGCTGCCAGGATTAAATCATGGCCAAATACCTGATTAATCATGCTAAATGGTCTGTTCATTACAGTATGAATCTGTGACCATGACTTAGTCGTGCAGGATTAAATCCTGGTTATACAATAGCCCCACGTTTATATCTTCCCACGTCCTCAACGAATATTCTCGAATCTTTTACATTTAATAAATTAGATTGGATTATTCTTGACTAGAGAGTTGGGCTGGTAGTGCCTAACAAGGTGGTCAAAATTTGAAAGTAGGAAAAACTGAGCGAATTGTAATTATGCATCGACATACTTGGGACATGGCAGAGGGGAAGGGTAGGGGTGCTGCGCAGCTCTATCAGTCCTGGAAAGCTAAAGGCTTCGGGGGACTTTTAATGAAAATTTACAAATTCGTAGTCATTTCCAATCAGCCGGTACGGATTCATTGTCCTGAGTGTTTTGTTTCCATGATTTTGTTTACTAACTGCTCTTACTGCCTTATGTAGCATATATTAACACCTTATTTTTAATACTAGACACGATTGCTTATTGATGTTCTGTTTTTAATTAAATAATTCACTTGTACATCTATTCAGAGAGGTATTACTATTTGATACATTCACTTCGGCGAGAAGTTTCTCTCAAATTTTCTCACAACTGCAAATACTCAGTTGGCTCACGTGCTGCGGCGGCCCCGCCTAACTTTGGGCCATACTCCTTCGCCGCAGTGGTGAGCGAGCTGTTGCGGTGGTTACTATCTACTTATCGACTTTTGGACAATCTACTCATCTCATCGAATACTAATCCGTGTGTGTGGTCACAGCGCTCTTGTTGATACTGAAGGTCTGTCGTTGTCCGAATGTGACCGTCTTGTGGTGGATACATCATCGATTCAGTATTAGCAAACATATCCGGATGTAAGTTTTGAAAATGCTAGTATGAGCAGTGAAACACAATCTAACAGCGATTGAATGGTATGATATGATACTGTCGAGTGCAGAGCTGGACTTGCCCAAGCTGATCTTCTAGACAACGACCTTGACGACATATCTAAGCCATGGATTTTCGATCACCATCGTGTACGCAACTGCTCTGTACAACTGACTTATAGCTTGCTATCGCTCAACGCTACGTGGTTGGCCCCTATATATCACTGGACTCTACTACATGTTCGTGGCTCCTGTTATCAAACTGACGCCGAAATCAAAACTCATTTTCACTGGTGTTGTTTGTACTGCACGTACTTCTGCAGATATGATTTGTTATTCGCCGTACAGCTCTCGTCTGGCGACTCGCTTTACGTCAAGTCTGCTAATGCATTAACTAACACTTCAGCCGCATAATTTCGCTATATAATAGCGCATTTGAAGATGGTCTTCAACGAACCATTGAATACAGCGTAGTGCGCAATTTAACGCCATACTGTACAGTACAGTACTGTTAGCTTGTGATTGATCCGCTTGTTTGTAACGTGATATATAGCTGTTAATTGCATTTCAAGCATTCGTCTTGTTTATATGCTGATCCGAAAATCGTGTTTATTTTAATAAAAGTAATTATAGAACGTATGAAAAACGAGGATTTTACATTTGTAAAATGTAAGAGTTCGATACCTACTTTTTTGTGCACCACACCATGATGGGGTTGAATTAATCCCTATTGGGCTGTATGTACTACTACTCGTAGCACTACCAGGATTATTTGGCCGCCAGCTTGTGTTTTGGAAAATGACAGAGATCGCTTTTTTTATCAATTCTGATAACTCACACTCTCATGCAAAAAAAGTGTATTATAGTGCGAAACGACAGTCGAGCTATTTCTAATCTGTTGAACACTACTTCTACTCGCGACAAGATCACTTATTGACCGCTGGGGTGAGACTGTCGCTAGTTAATCAATTGCTCGTGAGCCAAAGCGACATAGCCTTTGATCAGCACAGCAGCAAATTCCAGTGATTCCGTTGGCGAAACCTCCCTCGGGCTGCTTTACTATTCAAGGCTAAAGTCGGACGTCGGGCCTCATTCACCAACACGCCACACACAGCAAGACTCCACACTCTCCGACAGTGTTAATGGGTCTCACGAGCAGGCTCAAGGATCATCGCGGTCGTGACTACGCGGTCTCGTCACACGTGAAATCCTCCAGAACCGAGTTCATCCCGGCCCCGATGCAGGAAAGCGATGAGTTGGACGCCGAAAATAAGCTCAACGCGGCCCTAAAAGACGATGAATTGCTGAAACGGGCTCGAGAAGCCCATACCAGCATCGATTTTGGGTCGCTGGCCGCAGCTCCAGAGACCAGTGGGGAGTGGAAGCGCGTGGAATCGGTTGATGGCTTCGCAGTCTTCCGTCGATTAGCCACGATGAGCAACAACGGCAAGCAAAGGGATGGGCTGGAGGTCATGTGCATTGGTCGTGTGGATGCTAGTGTGGAAGAGATCGCGAGTATCCTTCGCTCGAGCTCCGAGGCTGAACACAACACGGTGATGAGTGGGTTGTACGCGAAGAGCTTCATCTTTGGATCCTATGAACGTGAGGTGGCGTGCTCTGAGAATCAAGACGAAGACGACGACGATGACGTTGACAACGACGAGCAACTCGCGGTCAAGACCAAGAGTTTCTCTCGCACGACTATCTTGGGGCACAACGAACAGTGGTGCTACTTCGACTACTTCCAACGCACGAAAGAGCACGGAGGCTTCACGATCTCCAAGCGTGCGTTACCTCCTTCAGAGGGTACTCCAGGACGCATCGTTGGAGACCATTCCCGTGTGGATCAACTGCACGGATTGAACGCTTCGTACCTCGTCGACGAGATCCCCAACCAGAAAGAACTACGTGTAGTATTCCACGCGTGGTTTGAGATGTCAGAAGAGGAAGTACAAGAATACTATTCCCGCAAACGGAAAGGATCCCGACGCAGGAGCTACGAAACCACACGCTCCCAAGACAGTGCCAGCGCTTCCCAACGCTCTAAATCATTCGATCAAGGTGATAACATCAAGTACAGATCCCAGCTTCGTCGATTACTGGCCATGGCCCATGGTGTCACCAAACTCCCCACTGTGGTGCGTCGTCGTCGCTTCGGTGCTCAAGTCCCAGTCGATGTAAACACTGTGCATGTTTCGAACACTCGCTGCCCGTGCTGCACTCACAGCTTGAAGTTATCGCTGGCAATGGCAGCGTCGGCAATCACCACCCTCAATCTCGGGTCGCTGAAGTCGAACACCAAGCGCTGCTACTTGTGTGGGTATCTCGTCTGTGTGGACTGCTGGAACTCGGAGACCATGGAGTGTTCAGCTGGACGAGTAGCTGCCATTGTCGTATGCACGAGATGCCGTGCGAATGTTCAAGCTTGCGAATACTCCGAGGTGTTTGCTGGCACGTCCGCACAGCGAGAGAAACACCGTGGCCCACCTCGTGTTGTCGAGGACGCGGCTAACGCTCCGACTGTGTCATTACTAGTCGATTTCCTGTCTGCTTCGCTCCTGAACTCTGACGCTGGCAGCTCCGAGCATGCGGCCGTGATGACTGTGATTCGGACTCTTCTCCGACAGGATTCGGAAGATTCCGAAGACGATTCCGACGACGACTGTAGCGACGAAGACAGAAGCGAGTTTGACCGCAATGAACCCCGCTTCAAGATACTTGGCGAGACCGACGCCGTGGAAAAGATAAGCCAAGTTTTAAGTGACAAGGAGCATCTGCCACCTCTTGAAGAGTGCAAGCTTGGGAACGCTGCGGAGAGGAATTACGTTTTGGATCTGCCGGTCGACCCCAAAGCCGCTGTACCTCTTTCCCCAATCCCAAGCAACGAAGCTGATCGAATCGCCAGCTCAAAGGCTTCGGGGATTCTACAACTCGCTGGTATTCTAGCCCCCAAGGAGAAAAACGAAGACGCGAAGAGTGACGACAAACCGGATATTCAAGACCTGGAGCTGCTGTGTAGTTTGGCTGTCAAGACGATGGGCTGCTCGTATTCCTTCGTGACGGTCATGGGTGAAACGGATGAGCACGTGTTGGCTAGTACACATCCCGATTTCGCTGGTGCCGTTGTGCCACGTGAACAGACGACGTGTCAGCACTTGTTGATGTCGCCACACCCATTTATGGTAGCGCACCATGAAGCCGATGTACGCTTCCAGAACCATGGACCGACCTCGTCAATCCCTATTCGGTTCTACGTTGGCTTCCCTGTTAAGGTTCCGCTCGTTGGAGGCAAACCTGGCGATCCGGAGATGATCGCGGCGACGCTGTGCTGCGTCGACACGAAGCCCCGAGTTGAGATCACTCGCACTCAATACGCGACGATGACGCGACTTGCAAACACTACCAGAACTTTTCTACTACAGAAAAGTCAGCAACTTCAGCTGGGGGAAGATCGAACTAAATAACTTAGTATTCATAGTATTGATAACATATAATTCGTGTCCTGGTCTTGCAGAGTGTTCAGACAGCCGTGATATCGAAGGTCCCATCTCATCGGTATTACACCTTGCTTGTTAAGCTCAAGCCTCAGTATAACACTTCTTCGCAAGTCTGAAACTCTTAACTTGCGCCTGTAAGGTTTTTTGGAGAAACTAAAGAAAAGAATTAGAGGCTCTTCTGCTATTTTGTCTAACTTTAGAAATTTTCAAAACTATTATGTGTTATCGAGAAAGACCTGTTATCAGTACATAACCAGCCTAACCTAAATCGAGAATGACTAAAATTAATATCCAAACGATCTCATCTTTGGAATAGAAATCGCCCGAACATCCCCCACAATGCACTTGCCCACCTCTCACCCTCCGCTACTTTATCACGCTCCAAAACCGAAAAGGCAATCGGCTGAGATCATCACAGTATCATCTATACTTTTTTCTAATGGGGTTTACCAAGGTGCGAGGCATTTTCGAGACGAACAAGCCTCGTCACGGTTGGGGCAGCTCGCAGTCTTCCGAATCGAGCAGGAAACAGTCCCGGTCTCAGCAAAGTAATGACCTTGAACAAGAATTTGACGAGGCGATCCTGTACAAGCTTCCTTCTGACACCGACATGCTTCAAAGAGCTCGTGAGTCTCATACGAATGTCGACTTTGAAGCACTTTCAACCGGTCCAGAGAAGGGTGGACCATGGCAACGCGTGGAAACAACCGGTGAATTCATCGTGTTTAAACGTCCACCGTCGGCAAATACCAAAGACAACCGGCTACCAGGACTAGAGGTCATGTGTGCCGGACAGCTCGATGCTAGTGCTGAGGAAGTGGCAAGTGTGTTCCGCTCAAACTCCGACGACGACCACGCCAACACTATGGAGGGGCTTTACAGCAAGACCTTCATCTTCGGATCCCTCGATCGTGAGGTACCGTGCTCGGAAAAATCTCAAAATCAAGACGATGACTCGAACGCTAGCTCGAACGAACAACTCAATGTCAAGACCACCAGTTTCTTACGCTCGACACTCTTCGGTCGCAACGAACAATGGTGCTTCTCGGATTATTTCCTACGACTAGAGGAGAGCGATGGCTTTAGGATAACCCAATGCGCTTTGCCTCCTTTTGAGCCTACTCCCGGTCGAGTGGTAGGAGAGAACGCACGTGTTGATCAACTACACGGTTTGAATGCGTCATATGTGGTTGACCAGCTACCGGACGATAAAGGGCTTCGAGTCGTTTACAACGCCTGGTTTGAAGATCTCGTGAAGGACATTGAGGCTACCACCTCCAGTAGTGACGCGAGTTTATCTAGTCGAAGCGCTGGATTGAGCGTGACGCCTTCTGTAAGCTCCAAGACTTTTTTATCCGTCTCAAGCGGTAGCAACCGGAGCTTACCAAACCAAAGCAGTGATCGACGACGAAGCTCCGGTTTGGTCGTAGCCTCAAACTCGAGCTTCATTGGCCTGAACGAAGCTGCTGATCGTAAAGCTCAGCTCCGTCGATTATTGTCGCTAGCTCACGGTATGACGAAGCTTCCTAATCTCATTAGTCGCCGTCGATTTGGGATCCAAGTACCTGCCGATCTTGACGCAATTCAAGTGGAAAACACGCGCTGTCCGTGCTGTACACACAGTTTAACACCGATTAAGATGTCTTTCTCAATGGCAGCTTCGGCCTTCTCGAACCGGAGTCTGCGGTCACTTAAATCGGACACAAGACGGTGCTATCTTTGTGGATATCTCGTGTGTATGGACTGCTGGAGTGCCGAGTCCATAGAGAGCACAGTCGGACGTGTGGCGGCCATTGTGGTGTGCACACGCTGCCACGCGAGTGTCAGGGCTTGCGATTACTCCGAAGTGTATGCTCCTGGTCAGGAAGAGTGTCGAGGCCCGGTAAAAGTTGTCGTAGACCACAACACTAACGCTCTAGCTCCTTTATTGACCGAGTTCCTTTCCACTTCATTGATGAACACAACCAGTAGCACGGACCGTGCAGCTGTGCTATCCGTCGTACGTTCACTTCTCCAACAAAGTGAACAATCGCAAGAAGAAGGTGATGATAGTGACAGCTTTGATGAAGGTTTCGACGACCTGCACAGCGACAATGTTTCTGTTGTGGAGCTTGGGAGATATCTAAGTGATGACAACCAACTACCAGAGCTTGAATCTTGTACATTCGCCAACTCGCAGAAACGTGGATACCCTATTGCCCATCCGGATGACCCGAAGACGATGGTGCCCCCAACGATTGTCCCTCCTTACGAACATGCTCGTCTTCAACTCATTACCAGTAAAGGACTGATGCTACTTGCTAATGAGCTGGCACCGGTAAACCCTGCTCCAGAAATATCCTTCGAGAACGTGTCGGATGTCCGCGATCTCGATATCTTATGCCACCTCGCTGTCCGTTCGTCGGGATGTCCGAACACGTTTTTATCGATCATGGGCACCGAACATCTTCACATTTTATCCTCGTCGAACCCTGCTTTCCTCCATGCGACCATGCCTCGAGAGCATACCGTGTGTCAGCACACAATCATGACTCCAAAGCCGTTTATCATTTCACACCCAGAAGCTGACGTTCGCTTTCATGAACTTGGGGCTATTAAGGCTCTGTCTACGCGGTGTTACATGGGGTTCCCACTAACTATATCAATGATCGATCACTCCACCGACATGGAGACAGAAATGCCCGTGGGGACATTGTGTTGTGTTACTCCAAAAGCCCGGTCTGAGCTGTCACGTTCGCAGTACGTTACGTTGAGACGTATCGCGGAGACAGCTTCCAGATTAATTCAACTTAAAAGTCGACAGCTTCAACAGCAACAGATTCTGGGGTTGTTGGGCTAGTTACATGATACTTAAGTATGACTGTCGGTACTTATGTTGGTAATAGAGTTTGGTGCACATAACGTTCGGGACAAATAAAGGGGTCTGGATATTGTTTTTTGAAACATGGTTGTCACTTACCTTTTCCGCGGAGATCCTTGTCTCGAGAAAAATAAAAAAAAACGAGATCAGACTCGCAGCGGACCCGTGAAAGGTCTACCCGAAATCATAGTTTCGTAGTGAAGCCAATCTTACACTACGAAACCTATAATACAACCTTCTTGTTAACAAAAGCGACATCAGCTGAAGGCAACGAGTTTTTCCTCGCAAAATGGATGATTTATTGAGCTCCATAGCACGCCTAATGAGTGCGTAACGCTTCGTATTCCATGAGTAGGATATGTTCAGTGAGAGCTGCTGTACGTGCTCGCAACACGTTTTGATTCTTCAATTATTGGCCACTTAACTATCTCGAAGCTTCCCGGTCAATACAACGCAGTTCTACCCGCAATTCGCGGGCCGCAAAGGCTGGGCGCTTCAAAGATGCAAGCGTTTGCCAAGTGCATTTTCGAGAAACGGTCTTATAGCATGAACCTTTAGTTAATGCCCCGCCTCGATGCGGATCAGCTGAAACTTTAATGTTAAGATATTAAAAGTTTGAGCACTTTTCGTCGAGCTTCGAGCATATACGTATTCAAAATGTCGCTTCCTCCTCTGCTCGACTTGAGTTTTACATGAATTTTGGTCTTGCCAACAGATGAGGCAGGTGCAGGTGCGTGGTAAACCCTTATTTCGAGACTCGAATTCGAATTAGCCACGTTGCGTTGCTCGAACCACGAGGTCAGAATATGCTCAATCGTACCCTTGGCTGAACTCACGCCCACAAATGACAAGTGAAAATGTCGTTCGGATTTGCCAAAAAAAAGTGTCCTTCGAGCTCCGTGGTCTTACCAGAGGTCAGAATATGTTCAATCGTACCCTTGGCTGAACTCGCACCCACCGAAAAACCACAAACAACAAACAACAAGTGAAAATGTCGTTCGGATTTGCAAAAAAAAAGTGTCCTTCGAGCTCCGTGGTAAGACCATGGAGCTCGAAGGATGGATACGCAACGCGTTTCGTCCACAGGTTTTACAGTTATGTTACAGGGTAAATATTTTTGTACTATTGTTTAATAAGAACCTAGGTCTTCAATCGGTTCTCACTGTCACCGCTTCGATAACAGTCAGAGCATAATATGATCTTTGGCAAGATGCAAGAACTCGCAGTCGTATTCGAGAAACAATGACTATCGTATTTGACATGAGCCTTTTTCCGTCGCGCCGATCACATCGAACTTTTGGTCGATCATGAAGGTCGAATCGCAGCATTTTTGGTCAGTGTCTGTGGCTACGCTCACCGTTGGGCGATCTCTTATCCCAGTAGCAGTTTTCTTGACTTAAATGCCTCGTTGCGACCTGATTGCGACATCGGCTTTCCTCTTCAACTGCTTCAGGCCAGTGAACGGCATCGAAGTGGCTGAGGCGCACAGTCCCGTTAAATTAAAAGCGGCAACTTTCATTGTGGTCTGGCCACTCTTGCAAGGTCGCATGCGAGATCCCTACAAGCCCATTTCATCATACAGCGGATTCTTTTATTCAGTACCGAAAGAGCTACGAACGGCTAACACCCCCCGCTTGGAGCCTGTCCTAGCCTGATAAGTCTTGCAAAGGTTCGAAGTATGTTCGAGGACACCAGTAAGCGTCGACAGCGTGGATGGGGTGGCTCTCAGTACTCGGAATCCTCCTATACTAGCTCAAACCTGTTCGACCCGACCCCCTCCTTTTCGACGCAGCAGAGTGATGAGTTCGACAGCGAGACAGACGACAAACCGCCATCCGACGCCGAAATGCTGGATCGAGCTCGAGCATCTCACACGAACGTCGACTTTGAGGCTCTTTCAGCCGGACCGGAGCTAGGTGGACCGTGGCATCGCGTGGAAGCTGCTGACCGGTTTGTCGTGTTTAGACGACCGTCTACTGCTCAAGTTCACGGTACTCATCTTCCTGGACTTGACGTTATGTGTGCTGGCCGACTAGATGCAAGTCTGGAGGAAGTGGCCAGTGTTCTTCGCTCGAACTCGGAAGTTGATCTCGCGAGCACTATGCAGGGTCTGCACGCTAAGAATTTCATCTTTGGGTCTCTCGATCGCGACGTGCCGTGCTCGGACGAGCAACAACAGGATGAAGAATCCTGCGCGAATACCATGGAGCAACTCAATGTCAAGACCAGTAGTTTTATGCGTACGAACCTCTTCTCACGTAACGAGCAGTGGTGTTTCACGGACTTTTTCCAACGGAAGGAAGAGCGAGACGGATTCACCATCTCCCAGCGTGCGTTGCTCCCCTTTGAGTCTACTCCAGGTCGCGTGGTGGGGAACAACGCTCGTGTGGATCAGCTACACGGCCTCAACGCGTCGTACTTAGTCGACCAACTTCCGAACCGAAAGGGACTTCGAGTCGTCTACAACGCGTGGTTCGAGGACGTGATGAAAGATACTGAAGGTTCTATTATAGGTAGCGACCGAAGTATGTCGAGTCGCAGTAGCAGTCGACGCCGAAGCTCTGGCTCCAGCGCCGTCTCAACGTCGAGCGTGTCTAGCTCTTGCTCCGACGAGATCAGCGATGTTAAAGCTCAGAAACGTCGACTACGGGCGCTGGCTCGTGGTATCACCAAACTGCCCGAGCTCATTCGACGTCGACGATTTGGGTTCCAAATGCCGGCAGACTTGGAGGCGATACAGGTCGCAAACACACGCTGTCCGTGCTGTACACACAGCTTGGCACCAGTAAAGATGTCGCTGTCTATGGCAGCTTCAGCGATAGCGAAGAGAAGTCTTCGTCCGCTGAAATTGGACACGAGACGTTGTTATCTATGCGGATATCTCGTGTGCGTCGACTGCTGGAGTGCAGAGCACATGGAGAGTACAGTTGGTCGTGTAGCGGCCATTGTAGTCTGCAATCGATGCCACGCTTGTGTCAAAGCCTGCGATTACTCAGAAGTCTGCGATCCGGACAACAAAAGCAACCACAAAGGACCAGTCAAGGTCGTCGAAGATAAACCCGACGACTGTGCAGCATCTCTACTTACGGATTTCCTTGCAGCCTCGTTAGTCAACGACTCGGCTGACGGTGCGGACAGAGCCGCCGTGTTGTCTGTCATTCGGCTGCTACTCCGGCAAAGCGAAACCACAGATACTGAAAGTGATGCAACGTACGACGATAGCGACGATGAACATTGCAACAACGACAACGTATCTGTGCACGAACTCGGCAAGTTCTTGAGCGATGAAAACCAACTGCCAAAGCTCGACGCCTGTGTGGTCGCCAGTGCTGAGCGTCGCGGGTATTTAATTGATCTACCAGACGACCCGGTCACAATGGTGCCGTCCAGTGTGATTCCAGGGCACGACGACGCTCGTCTCAAAGTGGCCAATGACAAAGGACTGTTGCTACTCGCCTACCAGCTAGCACCACTGCGCTCCATCCCCGATTTGTTCGATAACGCGTGCGACGTGCGCGACCTCAACTTGCTGTGTCAATTAGCCGTGCGTGCCACAGGCTGTACAGACGCGTTCGTGACGGTCATGGGCGTCAAGCACAACCACATTCTGGCTGCGACGAACCCAGGCTTTCATCACGCTGCTGTGCCTCGAGAGCAGACTATTTGCCAGCATACAGTGTTGACAACCAGACCGTTCCTAGCGACACATCCAGAGGCAGACGTTCGCTTCCACGAGATCGTGGCGGTCAAGGCGCTTTCCATTCGATTCTACGTGGGGTTCCCAGTCATTGTGTCCATGCATGATCCCTCTGGGAAAGAGGTTGAAGTCCCGGTTGGTACGCTGTGCTGTATCGACTCCACCGCTCGCGCAGAGCTCACACGGTCTCAATACACAACCATGAAGCGACTCACAGACACGGCGTCAAGGCTAATTCAGCTAAAGGGGAGTCATCTACGAAACCAGCTTGGTCCCGAAGCAACGTAATGATATGGGAAAAGCTGATATATCGTTTACTACGCTCGTTCGTAATGTCTGTCTCGACCTTTTTCCATCAATAACGATGTTACGGGTTCATTTTACCTGTTCACTTTACCTGACTTACAACACTGGGACGGCCACCTGGCTATTCCTTCATTCCCACTACTGAACACTTCCGGCGATCAACGTTTGAAGCTTCTGTAGATATCTTATTATGAACCTCGGAATAGTACGGCGAAGCTGTTGAGTATTCTCCACGAGTGACTCGAGTTCTGGTGCCAAACACATCAAACCTCCAACTGACGCAGAGATTTTCAACCGTGTTCGAATTATTCTGGCTCTGAACGCTCCACAGCCTCATTGGTGGCGGATTCACTTGAGCGATGCAGTGGAAGTCGACTGTGTTTGCGGTCTCAGCTGCGTTGCCCCCACGCGCTCCCAACACGCGACCATGTAGAATCTCGATAGAACGGCGCCATTCTTGATCCAACAAAAAGATCAACAATTGCAACAACGCCGCACTATAACTCTTACACAAAAAATACAGTATGTCATTCTTTTCGCAAGCCGCCGTTATCCTCTGCCTACCATGTGTCCTGGCCAGCTCACTCCTTCCTCTACATCTTCGTCTCCACGTCGCAACGAGAGTCTAGATCTCGATGGTTCGGGCAGTAATCGCGCTAGTCGCTTACAGAGCTCTCGACTCTCGTCACATTTCCGCTCCAGTGCCGCCAGTTTTGTGTCCACGTCACGCGTGTTTTTGTTTCGATGTTCCTGTTCGTGTTCCGGATCGTGCGGGGATCCGAATGCGCCTTCCAGCTGCTGTAGCCACTCTTCTTGTTGACTCAACTGCGAGCGTACGCGAGATTCCAGCGCTGCTCGCTGTCGAGCCTCCTCTGCGAGCAACTGTTCGAACGACCCGCTTAAGCGCGCCAATGAAGCCTCGTGTTCACCTGCAAGAGCAGCTAGCACCGCATTGGATGATAAGGCCTCCTGTGCGCCCATTCCCCCGTTTGCTCCAAGAGCAGCGCTGATCTCCACTGTCAGATCCGCCGTGGCCTGTTGCACTTTGGCGTCCACTTCATCACGCAGCGTCTGTACCAGATGCTTCACGGGGCTGTGTTTCCCAGGCTTCCCAGTCGGGATGCCCAGCACTTTGGCGATCTGCGCCAGTTGCGACTGGAACGCGCTCTGTCTGCCTTCTAGTGTCGAGATTCTGTCACTCAATACTGTAGCCGTCGCCTGGTCTACTGCAGTCGGCGATGGTGGCGGCGGCGTCGAGCTCTTGTACTGCTTCGGCACGAACGGCGGCGCGTTCGCGCTCCAGTTGCCGTTGCTGGCAGCATTGACGTTCACTCTGCCGACCTCAATAGCAGTCGGGATCGAGTTCTTGGTCAGCTCCAGCACCTGATTCTGTAGCATCTGTACCTGTATAGCCATTTCCTGCATCTGAGTCCTCATGGTGTCACAGTTGCATCTGCATCTAGCCTGATTATCCGACGCCGGGCGGTCTCCAAGATGCCGGTGCACCGTGCCCAGCACCAGATGCTCCAGGGCCTGTGCAAGCTCAGAACTCTTACGCGCCACTTGTCCAACAGCACGTGTGGCAGCTACGGGTTCTTGAATTGGTGGATAGGGCGCGGGAAGCCCCGGTGCGCCGCGCTTCGTCGCGTACAAGGATGGCACAGGTTGTGTAGCGGGTCCGTGCGTACTGGCCGTCCTGGGCGCTGGACGGAACGTTGGCTGGAGATAGGACAAGTACGAGGGTAAAGCTTCCTCCTCACGCTCTTCTTCAGCTGGTTCCATGCGGTTCCAGAGCGCGCGCGAGCCTGAGGCGCCGATAGTGCCGTGCGACGGAGGACTCGAGCTGGCGAAGCCCCACATGCCGTCGCGTGTGGAGGCGCCGTCGTCGTCGCCTGAGAGATCACGACTGTTGAGCCACATAGAGAAGACGTGCACACGATGCCGGTGCTGCTGGAATTAACGGAGCGCTGGCGGGAGCAGGAGGCGGGCGTAAGGCGTCGGTCCGGTTGGCAATGAGCGACGAGCGGACGGTTGGACTGCTGGCTCTGCGACAATATCACTTGATTTCACTAAGGACGATAGTGAAGCCAAGTGGTCAAGCGGCGGGACATTCTGGTGATGGAGAAATGCGTACGAATGGTGTGCAAAAAGACAGAAAAGGGCTACACTACGTACAAAAGTTATTTCAATAAAATAACTTTTGATTGTTTTGTTTGGTAGCTTACGGACCGTAAGTTTATAAAGTATTGGAAGGAAAAACGAGCAATAATACCGTAACTTACGGTATTATTACGGTATTATTGCTCGTTCTTCCTTCCAATACTTTATAAACTTGTAAAATATTCTGCAATACTTTTTGACTTGCAACATTTAAGAAAAACTTAAAGTGGGGCTAATGAATTTACGGCAATAACTGGTCAAAATACCATTTTATTAGCCCTGAACATGTATTGCAATGTTTGTTTCTGAGCTTAAGAACAAAAATAAAATTACTTTTTTTATTTTCCGTTAGTTGAAGTTGATTTGGCTACATGTACTGCTGCAATCATCGTGCACCTCAGTTGGCTGGTGTAGCTGACGAGCCTTACGCAACAAGAAGCTCGTGGTGATGCGGGCTAGACGCTTCATAGTGCTGTACTGTCGACGCGTGATCTCGATGTGCGGCGTCGAATCGAGACAGCAGAACATCCCCACCGTCACCTCTTCGTCTCCGGGTTTTGCTCCTTCTGCCGGCACAGTGAGAGGGAAGCCGACATACGATCGGATGTTTAGATCTTTGGTTGTCTTTGCGTTGTGAAGACGCACGTCTGCTTCGTGGTGTGCGACCATGAACGGATCCGACGACATCAGCGCATGTTGACAAGTGGTGTGTTCACGCGCCGCGACAGTTCTGGCGATGACTGGGTGGTCCTCGGCCAAGAAGTGTTCGTGCTTGGCACACATGATGGATATGAACGCGTGAGAGAAGCCTACAGTCTTGACTGCCAATTGACACAACACCTCGAGGTCACGAGTATCAGGTCTTAGCTGGATGCCAGCGTCGGGTATCTCCGGTGCGATACAATTGGCGAGCTCAAGGAGTCTGGTAGTTTTGGCGGCTGTAATCCGAGCTGCCTCATTGCGTGGAATGGGGAAATGGGGTACGTCTGCAGTGGGGTCGTCCGGTAAGTCCAAAAGATAATCACGTTGGTCTGCATTGGCCAGTTTACACGCCTCTAACGGTGGCACGTTCTGCTCGTCACTCAGTAGCATCTCGACCTTGTTCATAGCATCATCGTCGAGTGGATCAGAAGTAAAATCCTCGCTGTCGTACTCACTGTGATCTTCGTCTTCGAGGTCGCTTTCGTTGGATTCGAGAAGCATCCGGGTCACAGCCACCACAGCGGCATGTTCTGGACTACCGGAGCTTGTATTCAGCAACGAAGTCGACAGGAAATCCACTAGCAACGAAACTACTGAAACATTGTTCGAGTCCTCCACAACTCGAGGTGGACCACGGTGCTTTTCCCGTTCTTTTGCTGAGCCTGCAAACACCTCTGAGTACTCGCAAGCCTGGACGTTGACGTTACATCGAACGCAGACTACAATAGCCGCCACACGACCAGAACAACTCTCCATGTGTTGAGCCGTCCAGCAACCGATGCACACGAGATATCCGCACAAGTAGCAGCGTCTTGTGTCCATCTTGATGGATGACAAGCTGCGATTTGCAATGGCCGACGCTGCCATCGCCAGCGACATCTTCACAGGCGCCAGGCTGTGAGTGCAGCACGGACAACGCGTGTTGGTAGCGTAAGTGGCGCTAAGATTGACAGGGATCTGCACGCCAAAGCGCCGGCGACGAATAAGGTCGGGAAGTTTCGTGAGACTTTGAGCCAACGCCAACAGACGACGAAGCTGTGCCTTGTGTTTGGACGCGTCCTCGTAGTCCATAGACGTTGAGCGAAAACTCGAGCTCATGCTTAACTGGTGGTGAGAGCTAAAGCGACTTGAAAAGCTCTGACTGCTGGAGCGAGGACGGTCTCCGCTATCCTCTGGGGGGTCAAACCACGCATGAAGAACCACTCGAAGTCCCTTGCTGTTAGGGAGTTTGTCAACGAGATACGAGGCGTTCAATCCGTGCAGTTGATCCACACGAGCGTTACGTCCGACGATGCGTCCAGGAGTTGACTCAGTGGGAGGCAGTGCACGCATGGAGATAGTGAAGCCATCTCTTTCTTTCTTACGTTGGAAGTAGTCAAAGTAACACCACTGCTCGTTGTTGGCGAACATTGCTGTCCGTGTGAAGCTCTTGGTCTTGACAGCGAGTTGTTCGGAGCTATTAACTACTATTTCATCATCGTGTGTCATGGCGTCGGTGGAGCACGGCACCTCACGTTCATAGGACCCAAAGATGAAGCTCTTGGCGTAGAGTGCCGACATCGCTGTGTTGTGCTCGTCTTCGGAGTTTGAGCGAAAGATACTCGCCACTTCTTCGAGACTGGCATCGATCCGACCAGCACACAAGATCTCCAACTCATTGTCTCGTTTCTCGGTGTTGCTTGTTGTCATTTCTCGTCGAGAAACTACAAATCGATCCACTGTTTTCATACGCTTCCAAAGTCCGTTGGCCAAGGGTTCGGCAGCCAATGAAGCGAAGTCTTCGCTCAAGTGAGCCGCTCGAGCTCGTTCCAGCATCTCTTCGTCCGAAAGTTTGACCGAAGTTCGCATCGTTTCTTGCTGGAGATCATCGTCGCTCTGCATCGTGGATACTGACGGAATCGAGCTGAGACTATTGGAAGATTCCAAAGCCATGGACTCTTCTCGGCCCGAGGTTCGGGTGCGTCGTCCCGCTTCCTCGAACATACAGCGGACTGATGACAGATTCATCTTTGCTATTGAACACGTGACGTTCAAATCTCGACTGAACGAGTTCGAGTAGCTGCATCGCACGCAGTTAGGAGAGTCGTCACTAACGGCTTCCGCACCAAATTCAGGTCGGAGAACGTCTACGGCCTTGAAACGGTAGCTCCTATAATCGAGGTGCTAACGCATTCAGAGAATCACGAGAGGACGGTCCTCCTTGGAAAGCATTTTTTCTCCTGAGGTCTACAAATATTTTGGGTGTCACGTCTCAAAGGTCTCTGGATGAAAAGAACTTCTAAGAAGCACTTCACCAAACAATCAGGTCTCGTGGTCCACGAGTCGTAAACAGTCGGCACGTATGCTTAGCTTATTTTGCAGCACTTGTTCAAGTTTCTTCTCGTTTCTATGTCGGCTGAATAGTTGGCTCCACTGTTCCGTTGATAAGCTTTTCAAAAGATTTCGTTGGATTTCCATTAGCAACGGATAAGCTGTTTCTCAATTTCGAGCCATGTCTGTGAAACCAGCCAAGTGCATACCTTCGTTTCGATGGTGATTGAAAGCTGGGCTGGAGGTTGCGTCAACTCCATTGACATACGAACAATAGGACTGCACTTATTCGGCGGAAGTCGAAGGAGCACTTAATTCGCAAAAGAATTTACGACTGAAGTAAGTAAAACGTTATTAGGTTTTTGTTGGGTGAATCAAGGTTCGCCAGTAACACAATACACCTCACTTATTATTGTAAAAAAGGTCTATTATTAATAGGTTTAGCTTCCTTTTCGTACTCGGTACCCGAGATCTGTAGGGGATTACAATTGAAATTATCTTGACCGCCCAAGACACCGAGGGACCAGCGCTTTACAAGTAATTATCGAGGCACTTAGGTTGAAATTGTTTATCGCTACAGCTGTCGACTCTTCTGTAGCAGAAAGTGGGATGAAGTGCTAGCTAGCCGCTTCATCGTTGCGTATTGCGTGCGAGTGATCTCGGCCCGAGGCTTCGAGTCGATGCAGCACAACATGCCGACTGTCATCTCTCCATCTTCTACGGTCAGCGGAAAGCCAGCGTAAAACCGGGTGGGGACTGCAGAGGTGGCGCCGTGCTTGTGGAAGCGTACGTCTGCTTCGTGATGAGCTGCCATGAATGGATACGGAGACATGAGTGCATGTTGGCATGTAGTTTGCGCCCGAGGAACGGCCGCTCCAACAAATCCGGGGTGTGTGCCAACCACAATATGCTCGTGTTTCGTACACATGATCGTCACGAACGCATACGCGCAGCCCAAGGTTTTCACCGCCAATTGACACAGTAACTCGAGGTCGTGGACATCAGGTGCAACAACCTTCATGTCTGTGTGTGGCGTTTCCGGCGCGAAAATGTCGGCGAGTTCCAATAACCCCGCAGATTTAATGCTGGCGATACGTTCGGCCTCGTTACTTGGAATCGGAGAATGTGGCACGTCGATGTTCGGATCTCCCGGTAGATCCAAGAGATACGTGCGTTCTTGAGCGTTGATTAGTCTACACGCTTCTAGACTGGGTAATTTACACTCGTCTCTACGTGCGTTCTTGAGCGTTGATTAGTCTACACGCTTCTAGACTGGGTAATTTACGCTCGTCGCTCAGTATCTCCCTGATCTTTTCAACGGCTTCCATCTCTTTGAAGATAGGGGTTTCATCGTTGTCCGTATCGCCACATTCTGCACCAGCGTCTTCGTCGTCAGAGCTCTTCTCTTGTCGAAGAAGGATCCGAATTACATCCATAACAGCCACGTGTTCTACACTACTAGAGCGTGAGTTTAGCAGAGAAGCAGAGAGGAAATCCACCAGCAACGACACAGTTGAAGCTTCGTCCGAGTCTTCCACAACACGCGGGGGTCCACTGTGCTTCTCACGCTCTTGTGCTGTCCCAGCGAACACCTCCGAATACTCACAAGCTTGAACGTTGACATGACAGCGAGTACAGACGGTGATTGCAGCTACACGTCCAGAAAAACTCTCCATGTGGTCTGCAGTCCAACAGTCAGCGCACACGAGGTACCCGCACAAGAAGCAGCGTCTTGTGTCCAATTTGAGATGCGCCAGGCTTCGATTTGCAATAGCCGACGCTGCTATTGTTAACGACAACTCCATGGGGGCTAAACTGTGCGTGCAACACGGGCAACGCGGATTCGCCACCTGAATTGAGCTGATCTTTGCCGGAATTTGCACGCCGAATCGGCGACGACGAATGAGCTCGGGGAGTTTGGTGACTCCATGCGCCATGGCCAACAATCGCCGCAGTTGCGCCTTGTGCTTGCTAGTCTCACCATAGCCGAACGAATGGCGGCGCGGATTAGTACTCGAACTGGTGTTGGAGCTGGTCGTTTCGTCGCTTCTCCGCCTCGACGTCTTGCGTTTGTCAGCGGATTCTTCCACGTTAAACCAGGCGTGGAAGACGACGCGCAGACCTTTGGGATTGGGGAGTACGTCGACCAGATACGAGGCACTTAATCCGTGCAGTTGGTCCACGCGGGCGTTCAGTCCTGCGATGCGTCCTGGGGTCGACTCAGTGGGAGACAGAGCACGCTTTGTGATAGTGAAGCCATCACGCTCTTGCTTGCATTGGAAATAGTCCAAGTAGCACCATTGCTCATTGTTGGCGAATTGCGGTCTGTGCGAAGCTTTGCGTCTTGACAGAGAGTTGTTCGTGGTTCTGAGTAACCGTCTCGCTTTGGCTATTGGCCAGATTCTGGAAACACGGCACCTCACGTTCATAGGACCCAAAGATAAAGTCCTTGGCGTACAGTGCCGACATGGAAGCGTTGTGCTCGCCTTCGGAGCTGGACCGGAGAATACTCGCCACCTCTTCGAGACTGGCATCCAGTCGTCCGGCACAGAGGACTTCGAGCTCATTTGGCCGCTTCTCATTGCTGCTGGCTTTGACTTGTCGTCGGAAAACCACAAACCGGTCCGCCGCTTCGACGCGTTTCCAGGGTCCGTTGGCCTCTGGTCCGGCGGACAAGGCGCAAAAGTCCTCGTTGTCGTGAGCTGCTCGAGCACGTTTCAGCATTTCTTGATCCGAAGTGGACGCAGAGTCGCTCACTACTTGTTGCTGGTTGCAGGGAACCCGAAAATGCAATACTTAGATTAATACATCGATGTGAGCTGAGAAAATTAATAATTCAATTATTTGCAAAACTTCGCAAGTCACGATTGTAATTCAGAAACATTATCATCTCGAGCCTGGCTGGAGACATTCGCTTCCGTAGATCAGACAGCACCAGCTTAGCGAGAGAGAAGAAGCGCTCACACTCGTTAGACGTTAGCGGGATGTACGCGACGTCGACGTAGTGCGCAATTGTGTTTCTTGAACGCCGCTCTCACAATAGAACGCTCTTCGGCGGCTCTTGAAGACGACCGTTCGAGATCAGGCGACCTAAATTCAGCGCAGGCTAATTTTTCCGCGACGTTCAGCGCGTCCCCACGCTGTAACTTGACTAGACCTTCCTCAAAATTGGGGTTGTTCCCGTTGTTGACAGGCATAAATTAATAATTAAATTAAAAAATTCGGATTAATTTTTACGCATATTATTTTTTCGGGTTCCCTGGCTGGTTGTCATCATCGCTCTGGTTGGTGTGGGACTCGATACGACACTGACGTCCGAAGAGGGCGAGTCGCCCCAGCCTTGACAAGCCTCTTTGAGCATTCCACGCACCCTCGACAGATTCATGACAAGTGTTGATTAGTCGTGTTACGAGCTGTTCTAGGAGAGTGCGAATCCGCCAGTGCCGCTCGTTCTATAGTCAAGCGAGGTGGATGCTGCGATGATCAGCCGCCTTCTGCGCCTGTCCGCTGAAATGAACCGCCACAGAATCCTTGAAACGCTTTCCGGTGCGATATCCAGGCTGGATGTAAATACCTCTCTGGCCAGTAGGACTGCGCACCGTAGAAGGTGACGAGCCTAGAGCTCACCATTTCTAGGACAGCTTGTCCTACATACACCTCGCACAAGTGCAGTGAATACCACCCAGATGACACCTCAGGTGTTGGGACAGGTGGTATAGTAAAGTGGAGGTTCAATGGTGCTCAGTGAATCACCCCACGATTTAACTCGCCTGAAAGCTTGCCGCCAAGACTGCTGACATCGAGAAGAAACGACTTTGCAAAGTCCGGCAAGAGGGTCATCGTTGAAGTCTCTGTAAGCGCTCGACAGGCCAGTTGGCTAATACAACATTTCTTCACACCACACGCCTTTCATAGCGCTAATATGTAGCGCGGAACAACTCACGGTCGAGGTGCTATTTCCACGGGAAATACGAACAGCGAGACACGAAGGTTCGTGTCCCTCCGCTGGCAGCGGTGATTAATACAGTACCCTCCGTGCCTCAGTGATCGAGCCTGTGTTTGGATCACCTCGAAGATACCTTAACTCTTAGACGGACACCTTAGGCTTGAGGTGGCACATGCCGACCAATCCGTTGCGTGTCGAGCCGCTCGCCTTCTTATCTGCCGCGCCGCGCGTCTGCTCCGGCATTCAGCATCTCCGTCAGGCACGCCGTTCTAATCCCCATCCTGGCCACAAATGGCTGCGCTTCCCGACGGACTTTGAATCAAGTCGCCGTAAACGGTTGGCTGCAACTCGAACGACAGCAGATCCCGGGCGTCTGAAGCAGTGCTTTAAGCACCAGCGACGCCGTAGCTGTTCTCGACGAAATTGCTCCAAGTGTCGTTTTTCGCCGGGCATGAAGGTCGGAGTCCAACTTGGACCGAGTTTGGCCCTGTGTCTGCACCGTTGTCTGGCCTCTGCTCGACCCGGCTGTTGGGCGCGTGGGGCTCTGCTCATGGCGCGCAGCACGTGTGTATGTCGTCGCCCTGTGCAACCTACACTTCGGCCAAAAGTGCTCGTCACATTTGCGTCGATGGATCGGCGTGCAGTAGTGCGACATTGGTTGCCGGCTACCGGTATTGCCTACATGGAGCTTTCGCTTCACGTTAAAATCTGCCTCACGTCGATCGTTTTAATGCTGCGTGTTGACTCTGTACGTCGATCACCGATTGGCAACTTAATTTTTTTACTAAACTTTAAGTTAAGAGGCAGCCACCGAGAGGCGGAGCACGCGCTGTGGCGTGCATGTCGTCGGGAGTTAGCAAACGAGCCCTGGCGACTAACAACCAGTCAATGCCGCGGCACGAGACAACGGCGAGCCAGCAAAAACTCGACTTTTCATCAGGCTCACAGCACCGCACGTCGAACTCTTGGACGAAACGCGACATAGTCGACCGATCGAAGCTTTTTGCACGCGACTTAATGTCGCGACGGGGCGACGACACTGTGGCCTTGCAATGCAAGGACACAAGCTGCATCGCGGCCCGCAAGAACATTGCGATGATGAGAGAAGAAGACACAGACGGCGCGACTTTACGCTGTTTCCCGGTGTAGGTCGCCCCCCGTCCATCGTGCGTGTCATTCGCGAATCTGCGCCCTCGAACACAAGTCGAGACTTCTCCACCCACACTACAGTACTATTAACCATGGGCTGCGCTCAATCCACAACTGCTAAGGACCCGGCTGAGACTACGCCCGCCGAGGCCACGCCCGAGGTCGCTACTACGGAGACGAAGGCCGGTGAGACGCCCGCTACTGAGGAGGCTGCCAAGAAGGAAGAAGTCGCTAAGGAAGAGCCCGAGGTCGGGGAGGTTGCCACTGAAGAGCCCGAGGTCGAGGAGGCTGCCACGAAAGAGCAGGTTGTCACCGAAGAGCCCAAGGTTGAGCAGGTTGTCACCGAAGAGCCCAAGGTTGAGCAGGTTGCCACCGAAGAGCCCAAGGTTGAGCAGGTTGCCACCGAAGAGCCCAAGGTTGAGCAGGTTGCCACCGAAGAGCCCAAGGTTGAGCAGGCTGTCACCGAAGAGCCCAAGGTTGAGCAGGTTGCCACCGAAGAGCCCAAGGTTGAGCAGGTTGCCACCGAAGAGCCCAAGGTTGAGCAGGTGGCCACGGAAGAGCCCAAGGTTGAGCAGGTGGCCACGGAAGAGCCCAAGGTTGAGCAAGTGGCCACGGAAGAGCCCAAAGTTGAGGAGGCTGTCAAGGAAGAGCCCAAGGTAGAGGATGTTGTCAAGGAAGAGCCCAAGGTAGAGGAGGTTGTCAAGGAAGAGCCCAAGGTTGAAGAGCTCAAGAAGGAAGAATCTAAGATCGGGGAGCTCAAAAAGGAGGAAGTGACCGCATAAGTTACAGACAGCACATTATGCGCTTGCACGATAAGACCCACGAGATTGTGCTAGTGCTTCCCTATTTTGCCAATAAATCTGAATTTTTTCATCCTTGCAATGATGACTAAAAGTTCTGTTGAAAAGCTGCATGTTGCAAAATTTGTCATTCATGGTGGCTTCCGCTCCCGCCTTCGGACTACCGCTGCTGGCTGTGTTGTCGTTGTTCTCGCAGTGTAGTCCGCCATTGACACCTTGTCACTCGTCTTTGATCTCTGCGATTGAGCCGACAGTGGCATGTGCTGGTACAGTACATGTACGCCGTGGTCGCGACAAAAACTCTTAAAAAACAATTATTAGTTCTGACGTGTTTTTTAATCTTAGTTTTAAGTGATGACAGAGTGATGGTTCTGTGCCAACATTTCTGACCGCCACACATTTCGGCAATTACTTTCGAGCTCGTATGACGGCAGTTTTCCTGTCACCATCGATGGGGCATTCCAGTAACTTCGTCTTCTCGCGCAGACATTCTTTCCAATGGCAACTCGTGCTCGTGTAAACTCCGCCCTGCGTGCGCAGCACATGCCGCCGCACCTACGCCATCTGGAGGGCAAATTCAAGAACTCGCGCGACCAGAACTTGTCCTACTTGGCGCTGTTCCCTCCTGCCAACGCACCCCTTCGTGCCGTCGTGGTGTACCTGCACGGCATTGGCGACCACAGCCGCCGCTACTTCTACCTCTACGAGCAGCTGTGCAATGCCGGCTTCGGAGTGTTTGCCTACGACCTGTTGAGCCACGGAGCCAGCGACTCGGACCATCACGGACTGAGGGCACACAGTGCCAAGTTTCACTATTTCGTTGATGACACAAACGAGTTCATCAAGATGGCAAAAACGGAATTGTACCCAAAATTATCCATTTCGACGGGTAATGAACCCAAAATGATCCTGTCCGGCATGTCTTATGGCACACTGGTGAGTCTGCACACCATTTTGAGCGGCAAACACGACTTCAGCGGCGTGGTGCTTGTCGCCCCCGCTTTGTTGGTTGAGATGACGGCCATGCTGAGATTGCAGGCGGTGTTTGCGAGGCCTCTGAGCAAATTGGTGCCAAAGGCAAGAATTGTGCCGGCTGTCAATGCGGATTTTCTGTGTCGTGATCAGGATTATCTGGATGATTTCAAGGCTGACCCGCTGACTGTTGCCGAGCCAGTGACAGCGAGAATGGGAGCCGAATCGCTGAAGGCCATGAAGGCGCTGGAGGCTGATAAGAGAGTCGAGGACAAGGACAGCGACCTGTGCAAGTTGCCGATCTTGATGATGATGGGATCGAACGACAAGGTGACGAGTTTGGAGCTGGCGCAATTGTTCTACGATCGACTGGCGTCGAGTGATAAGGAGTTTAAGGTCTTTGACGAATACTTCCACGCGCTATTTGATGACCCGGAGCGTGACGCGGTGTTTGCGCACCTGGACAACTGGCTCAAGACTCGATTCCCGCTTCCGGAAGGAGCTAAGACTGACAAGATTGAGGAGAATGAGGAGACGAAGGTGGAAGCTTCTCCGTCTGGGGTCACGACGGAGCCGAAGGCTGATGTTGTTGTGGTTGAGGACGTGAAGGTGGAGACTACCGAAACTTCCAAGGACACTACCGTGACCGAGGAGATTCATGTGGCGACTGCGATCCAAGCCAAGGAAACGGAGACGAAGACGGAGGACGCGCAGGTCCGTGAGAAAACTACGTCCTCGAAGGAGTGAGGCGATAGCGAACAGACAACCAATTGTTGCATGGATAACCAGTTTTTCAAATTGTCACAAGAAATTTGATTACGTCAGGTTTCTAGCGTAGCGTGATCAAACGACACAGCTACGTGATTGGTCGAAAATAAAAATGTGCGAAACGACACATGGCTACATTTGCGTCATGCTAGTTGCGCGTCGCAATCGTTCACGTTTACCCAAAGCTGTCGACGGTATCATGGGGTGTCACTGTAGCACACTATCGCAATGCAGTCCATTGTCCGATTTGTCTGCAACAACAACAACCACAGCAAGAGAAGTTGCAACATCCAAGTCTTCCTCTCCAAAATTTCTGCCAACCTTGCCGACTACGAGCTCTTCAAGCCACTACACCATTTCAGGTTCGTTCTACCGCAGGAGTTCGATACAACCACCCCAGAGCCGACTTGCACATAGGACCGGGCAAATCTCAGTTCAAAACACCCAATGTCTGAGTTCAATACACACATGTGTCTCTTTTATTTTTTTGCCAATTACTGCGAAAGTGCCAACTTTTGTCATTTCGAGACCATTCGAGAATTCGAGACCATTCGAGAATTTAAAGGCACCCATCCATTCATCGCTTCGCCTCGCGCCCACTTTCGTTTTGGCAGAATGGGTAACACTTACCCTGAAGACGTTCGTGCACGTGTCCTCGAGGCAGCGAAGGAGGCTGAGAACTGGCGATTGGTAGCAGCTCCCAATGCAAAGATATGGAGGTAGGAAAATGACAAAAGCTGGTACTTTCGCAGTAATTGGCAAAAAAATAAAAGAGACACCTGTGTGTATTGAACTCAGACATTGGGTGTTTTGAACTGAGATTTGCCCGGTCCTATGTGCAAGTCGGCTCTGGGGTGGTTGTATCGAACTCCTGCGGTGGGGAGAACGAACCTGAAATGGTGTAGAACTGGCCCCAGGCCTCACACTCAAGAATCGCATGGTCTCAGCCCGTGCACGCGCGCACGCTCTGACATCAAGACGCGTTGTCCGAACGACGAGAATGTCAAGTATTACGCGGCTCGCGCGAGTGCCGGTTTGATCATCTCGGAGGGCTGCGCCGTGTCGGAGCAAGGCTACGGCTGGTACGGAGCTCCTGCACTGTACCACTGAGCTGATCCATACGTGGAGCTTGCTTGTACCCATCCAGCACTCCAAAGCAGGATCCGCTGCAAGTCGCTCGAAAACGTTGTGAAGTTGGCCACTGTTCCTACGAGAGCAGTGAGTTGCGCGTTAAGACTCGAAGGAGTCGGTGGGTGAGTGATAGCGACGTTGTCATTCAATTGCGAAACAATATCTGCGCGGGGGGGGGGGGCTTGGGCTTAAGGCTGTTGTGATTCTCGGAAAAAAATACGAAGTGAGCCAATGCAATCCAAGAACGCTACAACCTAGGTTCAGGATAGCCGTTTCAGTTGGTCTGAGCAGTGAATGAATGACGTTTAGAAGTCGCCCTCGTTTTTTTCGATGTTTACACCGATGGACTGTACACGTACAAGTTCGTACATATAAACAACACAAGAAACCAAGCTCTTTCGGAAAATATGCAGATTTTTTTCAAGTAAATATTTTTTTCCAGATAAGTAAATCAGATTTTAGAAGAAATACTGCAAAATAGCAAATTTATGCTGTAACGCTTGTGTAATACCAATAATGTATTTCTGTCGGTTGCAATTTTGTCGTGTGTCGGACCCGATTCCAATCCAAAACATGTTTTGATTTACGTCCAAGGGTGCGCACAGCAAATCCGTTAAGTTGAAGCGACGGATTGAGATTTCCGATGAGCCTCGACTACACAATCCGTCAGCAGTGCTACACTTTTATATAATAATGTAAAATCTTCTTTTCATGAGAGCTCAAGAAAACAAAGTGTATTCAGCAAATACTTAACTGTTAGGAGCGAATAGCACTGCTTAGAAATCTGTACTCCCGACAAAACCCCTGAAGAACATAGCGTTGGCACTCGGCGTCGATGCCGCAGTACATCGTAGCCGCACTTTGATTTTTGCCAGTTGTTGGATGAGCTTGAATCGAACAATTTAATTTATACGTCTAGGGATATCGGAGCTGAAAACGCAATCTTTATGGGCCACGCCTGATCTTGACAATTTGGTGCAACGTTGAAGAAGGTTGAGCACGTTTGATATAACAAAGTGACAAGTGCCAATGGCTCGCGGTCCTCAGCGACATTCAACGCGGTCTAATCACAGCGCACTTCTTGCAATGTTACAGTAGCAGGTTAGCAGCTTTATCTCATGGAACCAATCCGTTAGAATTTCTCCAGTTGCCCTCGGACCTGATCTCTTAAATATAGAGTTTTACAGTTATTTTGACCATTTTTAATGTGCTCCCTTCCACGGTGAATACGAAACGTAGCATATTACTAACTTCAAGGTCGCTTTCATCGGGACAGACTATATTTTTATCTGTGGTTTTGGCTCGACATTTTTGAAGCGGGCCTGATAATAACCCATCACCGGGCTGAAAACGTGATTAAAGTGCCTGATTTCCTCATCAGGAACCGAAATCGCTTCTTTAAAATCTAAAGTCCTTCTTGAGCGGACTAAGTGAGTTGTGCTGGCCACATCAAAATCCATTTTGTCCTAGCTGTAGGACAAATTCTGATTGAGGGTGAGTTAAAATCTCATAGTCGAGCCTCCACCAAAGAGGCATACTGCTAGAATTGACTCGCCTCAAAAGCACGAACGTTGACATGACGCTCTTCTAAACCGGTCCATCGCGCATCGTATTTTACAAATAGGCCACGATCCTCAATGTTGTTCAGCTAAAATTCAAGCCACTTATCGAGCTTGACCACGAAAAAAACCATCACAGTAAACTCGGGACCCATTCCTGATTCTTTTAGTTTTTGAAGTACTTCGTCAAAGTACCTCATCTTGACATCGTGCTGGTCTGATCGGATGACTTGAATAAATATGACTTCTCCGGTTTCCGAGTCAAAATGCACCGCATCGTAGCCTCCTTGATCCCAACTGACAGGCTGCAGCCATTTCTGGTCAGCTTTGAGTTTTGGACTTGGTTGCGTCCTCACAATATCGCCCACCTCAAACTTGCACAACGAGCCACCGTAGCTCTCACCCATTGGTACGATGTGCCCGGCAGAGACATACGTCTCCTGCCAACCAGCACCAAAATGAATGTCATACGTGTCATCCGAATTGCGCCGAGATATCGTTCCCAGCTGACGTATGCCTTTCTTGTCTAATCTTTTAAGTGGTTTCTCTGGATCAAACGGCAGCACATTCGCTTGCGGTAAAACATTTACGTCGTTCGCGCTGCCGAACAGTTTCACTTTGCGTGTTGCGAGAGAGGCAAGAAACAACCATTTAGGTATATAGCCATTCAGCGAAATATTACGCGAGGTATTATAATCGGCTACCAGCTCCATAATGGCGTGCTCACTGCATTCGGCTGCAAAACGCGAGGCCACATACGAACTCACAGGAACCCGTCCATGGCGAACTCTACCATCCAAGTCGTAACGGTGCATCCCGTAGAGTTTGTGAATCGTTTCATGATGATAATTGCCACTACAATATTTGACCAAATCAGCCTTGTTCAAAACGGATGCGATAGCTTCGTCCACTGTATCCTTCAACCATTTCGTAGTGTACTGGAACATATATCGACACGAGCCACCAGCAAAATAGAACTTTCAATCTAGCGCTTGTGCTTTCTGGTCTTCCTCACTCAACGGTCCATCGTCCTCGCTTTCGTCGTTCACTTCGTAGACATCAGTAAAGTCAAACTTATCCCTGACAGTTGCAAAGAACTTTTCATTGCGGATTGCTGCGACATACTCCTCTTTCACCCACGAGTACATGAGATAAGGCGTGATCTTGGCAAGAGCATCATCCTCTAGGTTCCTTTGTCCAAGTGTGGCCATCGAGGAGCAAATAACGAGCCGGTCATGATGGCAAAGATCGGACAAAACGTCTTTAATAAGTTTTTCATGCGCTTCCTTTTCCGTAATACCATCCAAAGCAACAAAGATCTTCTTGTGGCCATTCCGAGGCAACACAAAGTGCGAATCTGTAATAATCCAATACTCGTTGATGCCGATAGCCAGAGATGAAAAATGGGATCTCTGATCCGCATGAATCCACACCACGTCCCAATCCTTCCTATCCAAGGAAACCGCAAAAGCCAACGTGACGCAGATTTTCCAGCCCCAGATGGGCCCGCGACGTATCCCACGACGTTCTTTTTAATAACGTCATTCCTAAGAAAATTCCAGGACTTGAGGACGACAGTACAACATCAAGTCGCCTTCCGCTTTCAAACGGCACTTGCCCGGTAAGGTCACGTAATCTTTTTCAGTAAGATCAATCACAGGAATAACGTCAATCTTCTCTAAGCGCAGGCGTTTGTTTGGCACAAACGGAATTACTACCAGCACGTGAACTTGACCCTCACCCGGATAGAAATTCTTTCCAAAGTAAGCATCGTTCGCAAGATACAGCAAAGGGTTCATCTGCGGAAAACCCTTCCGGTTGTCTACAATCAGCGAGCGTCACAGCTGCAACGTTAGTTATATTCAGCCATACACCGTCCTTCTTCGCCAGGAAGAGCTGCAAGTTGCTGGCGTCACCCCTCTCCAGTTTACTAGGACCATCACTCCAAGGGCCGACAGATTTTTTAAATGAGGAGAAGTTATACTGGAAATACCGAAGATAATAGCAAACTTACCTAATCAAAATTATGCCCCTGAATTTATTATACATTCTTTGTCACTAGCCTTCAGCTGAATCGTTGTGGTGTATTTGCACGGGTTTAATGTTACTTGAGAGGGCAAAGCCAGATCCAAAACAGCGCTCGCTAAGCGATGCTGCCCAGATTAAATCCGAGACTACAGTAGAAAGCCGACCTTGCACTGCAGCGGTGAAACTAAGTTGTAAAAGTGTTTGTTTCGACTGTGAAAATGGGACTTTAATTTCGTACAGTCTCACCTGATGCCTGCCACACCACCTTTTTTTTCAATACAAACGTCAAGTAACGTTCATCTGCCGGTTTGAAAGTCCTTTTTGGCGCCACCTTCACTTGGAACTCCGCATTCGTCCGGCTCCGACCTCTCTCTTAGTGTCCACGATGCCGACGGAGCTGTCTCCGATCAAGTCTAAGCGTATGGAGGAGAAGGCCTCGCTCCAGGCGCGTTTAAATCGTCCCTAACCTGACTAAGACAGCTTATCGACTAAGAATTTATGCGATTTCACTGCAGAAACTGAACTCCCGTCTGGAGATGTACGTGCTGGGCGTGAACGAGCTGGAAGGAGCCAAACATGCAGCTGAGAGGGAGCTGGAGACCATCAAGCAGCGCATGCAGCAAGATCTCGAGAGCGTACGCTCGCGACTGACAAAGGAACTGGAGGAGACTCGCAAGTACGTGTTTGCTGTTATTATGTTTAAAACTGTTTTAATCGATTTTACTCACCTGGTGCTATGCTTTTATCGTGTTTTTAAACAGGAAATTGAACGATGAGATCGACCAGAATGCAAAGCTGCAGACACTCGAACAGGAGCAACACAAGGAGCTGGTGAAGCTACGCGCTCAGCAGACAGAGCTGGGAGAAGCCAAAGTGTTGGTCGAGACGCTGCGAGTGCAACTAGACCGAGAGAAAGCCAATGCTACGTCGGCCAAAGAGACGCTCTCGGAGCAGACCACACAGCTCAACTTGGCCAGACGTCGCGTGAAGGAACTGGAGCGCGACTTGCGCTCTCATGCGGCGCTGCTGAGTGACGCAACAAAGGAACTGGAGGAGCTGCGCAGGAAGAGCGTGGACTTTGACTTGACGAGAGACGCCGAGATGACCAAACTGCGACGGGAATGGACAGCGAAACATCTGGACGCACAGGCCCAGTGGAAGAAAGACGCCGAAGATCGGCTGCAGTCGATGGAGATGGAAGTGCGCAGCCACTTTGACAGCGTCTCGGGGAGTCTGCAGACGCAGCTGGATGACGTGCGAGCAGAGCTGGATAGCAGCAAGATGGAGCTGGACCGCACGGCTAATGACTATGAAGAGAGTTTGAAGGCGCGGCAGTCGCTTACAGAGAAGGTGGCGCAGCTGGAACGAGAGTACCGTGAAGTGCGCTCCAAGTCAACTAAAGACCGCAAGGCTTATGAAGAAACGCTGGAGAGATTCCGGTCCTCTAAAGTGGCTAAAGAGCGCGAGTTTAACGAGCTCATGGACGTCAAGATCGCCTTGGATGCGGAGATTATGAAGTACCGACGCATTTTGGACCGCGAAGAGAGTCGAGTGGCTGTCGCGACGCCCAATACGAAAGGACGGAAGCGGAAGAGCGACACCACAAACGGCACGTCGTCAAAGCGAGTCAAGCGCTCGATTATTCAGACCGAATCGACGTCGTCTTCAGCGTCGGCGGTGCAAATCGCGGCGATAAACTTGGACAAGGACCGACTCGTGATCAAGAATTCTAGTAGCGATCCGGTGCCTCTAGGCGGCTGGGTCGTGCGTGGTCAGATGGACCAGACGTTCCGCTTCCCAGCGACCTATGTGATGCGGCCACAGTCGACGTTGACGGTGCATTCCAGCAAGAGAAACAAGAACGCCAAGAACGAGCGGGTGAAAGGAGAAGACTCGTTCCTGGCCAACAAGTTCTCGCTGAACCCGAAGGGCGACTTTGTGGTGCTTTGGACCGCCGATGATATCCCTGTGAGCATGAAGAGCCAAGGATTGGCTGCAGAGGAGGTTCGCGCGATTGAGGCAGAATACCGCGCTGATTTCCTGGACGACGACGTCCCTCCCTCCGGCAACGTGCGTAAACTCGCTTTTTATCGCTCTAGTATTGGTTGCTGGACTAATTTTTTGTTATGTTTTGCTACGAATAGTGCGGCATGATGTAGAGCAGTCAAATAGCAAGTGACGCAAGCAAGAGAAGAAGAAGGACCGTTTACGCGTGGTAGCTCGTCCCCTTTTTATCTTTCTTGGAAGAGACTGCTTGTCGTAATAAAAGCAACAACTCACTCGTCTACCTCCTTTTACGCAGCTGGAGACAACACTACCAAGGTTCAACAGGCTTTCTGGTGCTGCATGTTCCAGGTCGGATAACTGTCAAGCTGGAAGAAGCACCAAGGTCCTGTCTGGGCGAGAAGTAACTCGCTTTGAACGCCAAAACGCACTTTACAGATAACATTCTCTGTTGCTGACTCATTTGAACACTGGACTGACGTATAGAGAGGTCTGAGCTAGTTTACTTGCTGCGTCTGGATCAGTTGCAGCGTGCTGGCTTGGCTACATTGGTTGGTGATGATAGCTGATGCTGCTCGGGTGAGATGCGAGAGCGTGGAGTACTGCGACTGTGTCACGTCTCGCGACCGAACATCGAGGCAGCAGAGAGATCCGACTACTGAGAGACCGTCACGACTGAAGATGGGGAAGCCGGCGTAAAACTGGAGGCCATAGTCGACCACGAGGTCTAAGTTGCCGAAGCGGACGTCAGCTTCTGGATGCTGGACGAGCATCGGTCTGTCGCCCATCAGCAGATGCTGACACATTGTGTGTTCTCGAGGCAGCTCGGCGTTTTGGAAGAGTGGCGAGTTGCTGGCGAGAATGAACTGCGTGGTGCTCCCTACAATCGTCACGAGTGCGGCCAAGCAGTCCAACTCTCGTGTGGCTAACTCGCAGATGAGAACGAGCTCGTTCGACCTCCTTGCTAGCAGTAATTGCTCCTGGATGATCGCTTGTATACGGCTCGCTTCGTTTGGAGGCATGGGCCCGACAGGTATAACAGACACGCCTGCACTACCACAAGCCGTGTCGATGGGGTATGCTCGAGTCACAGCGTTAGACAGCACACACGCTTCAAGCGGCAGAGCTTCTCTTTGGAACTGGCTTCGTAATCTCTGCAGAGCTACTGGGATCTCAAACTCGGGGTCGTTTAGGGCTTCCGTACTCGCGGAAGTATGCTCCAGGACGCGGCTGACGCCTTCATCGAGTGTTGTGACGATCTGCTGCAGCACGTTGAGAGCTGTGGACTGCGACTCGAAAGAGCCAGAGGAATAATCGACCGGGTCATTGAAAATATCGTCAAGGTACGTGACCACCGCGTGACCTGGCTCGGGAGCGTCGTCGGGGTCTGGTAACACTTGGGTCGTGTGGAAGTAGACATCTGCGCCGGCGATTACGGAAATGGGACTGGTGGTGCTTAAACTACTGCCACGATCGTGACTAGACATGGAGGAAGCTGCGAGGTGCGCGTAGTTGCAGTTCTGGACGCTTTGCAAGCAGTTTGGGCACACAAGCACCGAGATCGTTCGACCGTTCGTGGCTTCCAGAGGCTGGCGAATCCAGCAACGAGAACAGACCAAGTGTGCGCACAGATAACATCGATTCTTGTTGACCATGAACCGCCAACGGAGTGATCGAGAGCAGGCTACACAGCGTGAAGCACTTGGAGCTGTCGACACCAGCCTCGTGATGGACCACACGTCAGCAGGCACTTGCGCGCTCATCCGACGACGATGCACGATCGCTGGCAGCTTGAGGACGCCGTGTGCGAGGCGCAGCATTCTCCTCCGAGCGACGTTCAAGTCTCCGTGCTCTTTATCCGAACAGCAGCCGTAGAACACGATCCGAACGGCAGCCGGACGACTCTCCTCGATTGTTTCTACCAAGCAACCTAGCGACAGACCTAGAACCTGGTGAATGCGCTTGTTGGAACGTCTGAAGCCAAGGCCGCGACTGTGTCGAACGAGTTCGATTGGTGGACGTACAGCGCGTGGAAGAGCATCCGGCTGCAGTGATCGTTGGGAGAGCGTGAACCCAGTCACGGACGACGCTGGACCTCGTCTGGACGGAGCGAATTCCTCGAGGAAACACCAGCGCTCGTCGTTATCGAACACAGCGAAGCGCGGCCGAGCGAAGTTTGCAGTCTTAACGCACCGGTATCGACCGAGGAACTTACAGTCCGCAGAGGTGACGGGGGTCCCACTTTTTGACGAATTGAAGCTGTGGACGACCGACCCGCGCTGGAACGAGCGTTCGTACATGCTGCTCATCGCGTAGTTGAAATCGAATTCTCCAGGACATCGAAGCAGCGCTGCAGCTTCCGCCAAACTGCACTCCAACTCCCCCGTGACCAACACTTCAGTCGCCGTGGGGTTGGAAGGTGAAAGACGACGGGAATATGTGTGGAAACCTTCCTGGTGACTGCGACTGTGATGATGCGGTTCCCATTGATCCAACGACAAGTTGGCTAAACTGTCAAAGTCGATCCCGAGAGTAGCAACTTTCTGAGTGCGAGCCCAAAGCAGACCCTCGAGATCTCGACGAGAATGGGAGGATGTTGGGGCGATGTGGTGGATATCTGCGGTGCTCCCGCTGTCGCCGCTGACCTCGGTTGTAGTGTTTCTATCGTCGCTGTCGGATTGAGCTCTGGCACTGGCAGTCGCGTGCTCATTGACGGACTGCTTGAAGTGGGCACCGTCTGGTGGAATTGCTGTATTCATGACTTGACAAAAGAGTTTGGACGCTGTAAAAAGAAAAGTGATGTTGTGCACGTGCACTCATTTCACCCGACGCTGTAAGAGAGAGCCGAAAGTGGCTACGTACACAGTAATTAAAAGGGCACTTTTAGCCTAGAGTGGGACTCGTACAGTGGGCCGGTGTATCCCCTATCCGCGCAGACGGGCCAGGGCCCCGTCTGACTGTGAAAACCAGGAGGAAATATAACTTTCACAATCAAAAATCTGATAAACACACTAACCCATCTCCCACAATACGCACGGCCAGGCCAGGCTGCGATGCCTTGCTGCCCGGGTGATGCGGAGGAGCAAGCAAACGCTCCTGTCCCATTCCCTACGGCATCTTGGGGTGGTGCACTCCATTATCTCTCAATCTACGTTTTCTCTCGGACCTTCCAAGCACCGCTGTTGGTGTGTCCAGTACATCCAGCACTTACGCCAGCTCCATGACGGGCCTCAGCGCTTCAGAGCTGCCTCCGGAGCCTCTTCACGCTGGGGAAGAAGTTGAGTATTTCTCCCGCCTTTACGTATGCGGTGACAGCAGAGGCTATCGCCGTCCCATCGTCACCCGTGTTAATGGAGGCGGGGACGTCGAATTTCCGATAGCGGTGAACACAGAGGAGGTTATTCCACTCGACATGATGATGAGGCGGGTCGTTGACCGCTTCGGAACCCCCTTCACCCCTGGTGTCGCTAAGTGGCGCAAGCTGCGATCATTCGAGCTGGTGGAGGGAGATTTTGCGGCCACAACGCGGTCCAGCGCCCTAAATGAAGCGCTTGCAGGAGCAGTGACAGCTGCATTTGACGCAATTTGTAGCGGCCATTGCGGTACACGTGAGGAAATTGTCCCGGAGACACCGCAGAGCAGTGCATACAGCTCTCCAGGTGTGGAGCAAAATTTGAATCATGAGCTCCAGCCCAGCACCCTATCCAGCGACCGTACCCAAACGCAGAGCGCTGAAGAAGCTTCGACCCCTTCCAGAGTTTGCTGTGCACGCGAGGGAATCCGCTCAAGCTCTTCTATTGCGCAGATTATCGAGTTAGTCTCACCTGGAGGAGAGAGCGAGGCTTTATCCAGCACTGAATCCAGTCGGCCAAGCGACGCCGAGGCCGCAGCTTACGTCCGCTCCATTCCAAACCGCCATTCTCGTGCCAAAATCCGGCACCAAGCCAAGAAGAAGAGGGCGCAATGGCATGTGCCGAGGTCTAGGAAGCGACGACACTTGGCTCTGTGTGCCATAACCAAGAGTGGCAACGAAATTTACCACGCGAAAACATTCAAAGCAGCAATCTTCAAGAATCTACATAATAGTCTGGAGGTGAAGCGGAGCTAGATAATCTGCACATGAGACGCTCTACGTACCCGGACCCTGCGCTGAAGGAAAAGCACACTCTACTCCGCTCCGTCCCGTGGCCCGCAGAAATCACACGAATTACCACCTGCATACGAAATGGCGTCAAGTTTCCGGACATTGGCCGCGTAGACCCCTGCCAGTGCATCGGGAACTGCTTCTGGGACTCTTGCTCTAATGTGGCGTCCGCATCCTTCTGCACTCCCAAGTATTGCAACCTCGAAGGGAGGTGCAGCAACGCGCCGCGGACGCTGGACACTCTACAGTTGTTTGAGACTGGTCGGGTTGGCCTTGGAGTCTACACAACCACGGATCTGGACATCGGCGACGTCTTGGGTGAGTACTGCGGGGAGCTGTCTGAGTTTCCAGCTGAAGTAGAGGGGCAACCGCCAGAAGCAGTGAAACAAAACAGCGGGTATACGCTGCTATACAATGCCAAGTCCGTCGCGAGAAACTACGTTTACGTGGTCGCCCTGAAGTGTGGCTCGATAACGCGATTCATCTCTCATTCATGCACTCCCAACGCAGCCTTCATCGAGCAGCAAACGCGCTCTAGGGTGCGCGTACTCGTGAAGATGATAAAGAATCTTGTTGCAGGTGCCGAAGTGACCGTTCACTATGGAAACGAGCGATGGTTCAAGTGCGCGTGCGACCGATGCTGGAGCAACCGCGTGGAAGAGGTAATCGACTGCGAGGAAGAGTAGGGAGTGTAATTCAGGAACTTGCTCGCGTCAAATGCATTGAACGTGGCTAAATGAAAGATTTGCACTTTTGGATTGATCTAAGTTTGCTGTTTGTGTGGGCTGCAGGTTTTTTAATCGACAACAATGATTAAAGTGAATTTTTTCGTACGTATTGAATAGAACCAATGCATGTAGACAGGATCCTCTACTACCTGCGCCATTCCAGTCATGTAGAATATGCCAGATCACACCAAGCTCAGTGCCGGCCCAATAGTACGCGGACGTCCCAGGTCTGGAAGCATAGCAGCTTCACCGCGTTTTCTTTTGCGTCGGCTAATTAACACCTCCCTCCCGCTGCTATCGACGTGAGCAGTGACGCGAAGGGCGAAGAAAATATATGAATACACGACCCAAAAGCAAACCAGTAATCACACGGACACCGCTGCCGAAGGACGTCAACGGCCCAACCGTCTGCCGGCTCTCCTTCGTATTCCTTTCTGGCGTAGTTCACCCCCATCTGCGCTGTCACCGCAATGGCCTCTTCGCTGCGTCTATTCGGCGCAACCTGAACGCGGTGGGCAGGCATAGAGATCACCCGGAGAATGCAGCAGGCCCCTGCGCGCACAGCATCCACATCTTGGTCCTCTGCTAGGCCCAACAACTTCTCGCGGACCATCTCTGACACCCTGCGCGCGAGCGTAGGAGCTGGACACACGACGAACTCAAACGATCGAGCACTACTGGATTGATCTTGGCAGCACGCGCTGAGCTTCCTCAAAAGAGTACCCATTTTGAGCCGCCGTCGCAGCGTGTAGTCGCGCTTTAGCAAAGCGTTGAACGTCTCCGCAGGATTATTCGTTGAGGCGGTTCCAATGGGAGTGGCGAACACCTGCCACGCCGTGAAGTGTCCAGTCAGCCATTGCGCATGAAAATACTGTGCAAATGGTACCAAACTGGGCTCGTTCATCCAGCCATGCAAAATTGGACGCAGCATCTCCAAATACGCGCCGTGGATACGAGCGAAGTGCAGATCATATAACTCTCGTAACACTCGAGCTTGTGCACCCGAGGAAAGTAGCTTAACACGATCCTGGATGTGCTTCATGACGTGAAAGAAGCACATCAGGAACCGGTACTTCGGATTGTCACCAAATATTGCAGCGAGTGCGTTGCATTGAGCTCTGTCGCCGTCAGCCATTGCGTAGTCAATAGTGAGGTGCCTGTCTGAGATCCAGAAGTATACACGGCGAAGCGAAAGCAGGGCGGTCTGGAACATCGGCTGCGTCTCTTGGGACATCACGAATAGGGCGACCAGGTGGAACCTCCGCGATCGGTCCGAGACCCCTACTACCAAGACAGGATAGTCGCACTGGTTTGTCTTGTACGTCCCATCTAGGTGTAGGATGAAGCTATCGGGCGGCACTGTCAGCCTCAACATCAGCGCCTTCGTCGATATACCTACCAAGAATGGTCTCTTGTCGGAGCCGTTACCCACTATGGGCTTGCCCATGTTGTCTATATCCCAGGCAAACGTGAAAGGCTGGGTCATGGATTCGGATCCACTGTAAGCGTGCTCGCGAACCCACGCCGTAAGATCCAAGACACGGTCGTGATTCTCTAGCTGCGTCCGGTTGTAATGAGTGACAAAATTTTGCGCCGTTTTAAGCGCAGGCAGCTCCTCCAGGGGCGTGGCGAACTTGCGCGACAGCGCATGCCGAATACGCATCGGCCGCATGTGGTTTTCTGCCAGGTCGCGACAGAATGCCTTCTGCGCCAGAGTCAGCTTCCTGCGCCCTGGGGACGCGGCAGGTGAGCTGTGCTCCCCAATCTCGAAGATGGACGCGTGTTCCGAGTCCAAGCACTTGACCATCTTCCCTCGCCATGTGCACTTCACTGGACTCGCCTCACGACAGGATTCAGAGCTACACTCGAGCAGCCGGTAGCTCATTTTGTTCTCCGCGCCTGGACAGATTGTGCATGCCATCGCTTGACTCTTGCTAATATCGAAGGACTTGAACGACGCCAACACCGCTTCGGCTTCAGCAGCGTCGACGTCGACAGCCCTCTCACACCAGCTCACCCGCCTCGGTATGATTGAGTGGATTCCGGAATGCTGTGGGTCACACCACCGATGGGTCAGATTTGCCCTATCCGCACCCCTTTTGCGCGCTTCCTGCGACATCCACTTGTACTGTGTTCTGAAGGATACTGCCCAGCTTTTTAGTGTGCTGACCAGTGTCTATGATGCTGACACAGACTTATTGTGCTATGGCAGCACTGTATTGTGTGTTTCAGTGGTTCTCGAAAACTAGTGGCTGTGTCGGATCCCCCCATTTGCTCCATTTTCCTCCCTAGCGATGTCGCGCCGACCAACCCACCGCCGCGCCCGCAGGCTCCCAGAAAGCTCCGAGGACAGCGAAGACACCTCGGCACGCAGTGAGACCTCAGGATACGACTCGTCAGCCAGTGAGCGAGATGAGGATGACTCGGGAATTTCGGA